GAAAAGTGGTTAAATGGTCGTAAGCTTCGGTCTAATACCTCCCCGATATTCGAGAGTGAAGGGGGTCGAAGGCAAAACGCGATGGTCGATGTAGGAGAGCCGAGCGTCCTCGAGGCCGACTGTTGCGTCTTGAGGGTAGGTCCGAGCGAGGCTCGGCCGCTTTAGACACTTCCGTATGCAAATGCGAGGGCGTACAATCAAAGCGCAGCCGGGACGATACATATTCAAGCGGTCAGGATGGGTAAACACCGGTCCAAACCAAGCGCGGACGGTTTACCATTGGGCCGCCTGCAGCTGTACACGCACACTGCCACCGTCGGCGTCGGCTAACCCACGACGCTCTGCTCTGTATGCGGCGAGGAACACGTCGTATGTAGAGTCGAAACTGAATGGCGTGGGGGAACGGCACGGGGAGTGGGGAAGCGTCGAGACGCCCGAAGGTACAGGAGGTATACACGACCGGGACACAACGGAATCTAGCGGGGCTCTATGGCGGATATATGCTGCGTACACGGCCGACAGGGCGAAGCCCATCAATTTCCCATTCAATTCGCAGTCTCGTCTCTCGCCTTGCGAATTCTAGAGTCGACGCCCGCCGCCGACTCCTCGTCAGGTCATCCCTCTCTCGATTCTCGATCCGTCTCGAAGATGCGTTCCCGCCGCGTGAACGTCGATTCCAGCCACGATCCCGATTTCTGTCTAGTCACGTCTGCCTCGCGCGAATTAAATATTGGCACCTCGCGGATAATACCTACTTCTCACCGGTGGTATTTCGTGCTGCGCCTTCGAGCGAATGGTTTCGAATAGGCGGGGTAATCGATTTCGGTGACATTGGGCTCCCGAGGGTTCTTTCGAAAAACTAGCGCGCTGGTCGTACCCTGCCATTATTCTGGAAACTTGCGCGTATAGTTTGATTATCCGCTGCTGGATCGGATGGAATTGATCGCGTATTAATGTCGGATGCTGTGGCATCCATACCGTGCAAACTCTGCAACTAGGTCGCCTTGGTTATTTCCGATGCTAACGAACTAATTAAACGAGGCATAGTTTTATGTTCATATTGTAGCATTTATCGGAAACAAATGTTTTTATAATAAATTTTGTTTTTCGCTATTCCTACTAGTCGCTATATACTACTTTAAATAATGATGCTTGTACCGACTACCTGTGCCTCTAATCTCTCGCGTACGTACGCTGTGAATTTCAAACAACGATCGCACGAAAAACCGTTGTTTTTCGATACGGTCTGGCGCCCCGTGCACGCTCAAAGACACTCTCGGCGAACAACGCAAATATTTTCAGCTATTTAACGAACTTCGTCATCGTCGTCGCGCGCGGCGGGCCACGAACGTTCAAAGGGTGAGAAATGGAACCGTGGCGCGACGTAGCGCTCGTCGCCGCTCGCAATTAGCGTGCTCATCGCGGTGCTCGTTGTACGTCAATTTCATCGGGACAATAAGCAAATTAATTCTCGTGGATCGCAGTTTGATTTCGTTAGCGTTTTCAGCGCGATGCTCGGCCGCGCAATTTCGCGTCAGCGCCGTCGTTATGAAAACCCTCGATTGCATTCTACGGCTGCAGTTTGCTCCTTTTCGTTCCGTTGCGACGCGACGCGACGTTCTCTTTCTTTCGCGAGATAAATAGTTCGATTGTCGATACACTTTTCACAATTTGAAATCAAAGAATTCTAGGTTTAATTAACTCGAGTTTGTTTTAGGCGCTTTTGGTATATTTCGCTGACATCATAAAGCGAAACGATTTTGCACATTTCGTAAAGTAAGAGCACTTCTATTATTCATCGTAATGTTAATTAACATGTCACGGATACACTCGGCTTGCCCGATATTGCTCCTCCTTCATTTTTTCCCATGTTTTCGTTTTTTTTTTTAGTTTTAATAAAGCACGCCATTTCACGGCGATGCCCGAACCGACGTCTCTCTGTAATTATTCATCGGCTCAAGCGATTTACCGTCCCTTCTAAGCTCCGCTCGCACTTCTCGTCGGCTAGCTCGCTCGCGCAGCCAATTATTTTTTAATCCCACCGCTCCTGTACGACGTTCGCTGTGATTAAAACATCTCCCCTTCATAACGGAGCATCTGTTAATTACCTATCGATCCCACGACATCATTACCTAAGTGCTACATAATCGGAAAGTACTTCTGGACCAGACGGCATGGACACGGGGCAACTGCTTTGCCCCGTTGGTCGGCCTAATCAATTTTCCATTCACCGTCGCCCATTGACGGATGACTTACGACGGCCAGGGGGTTTCAATAAATCAGCATCCGTCGTTCCGCGCTAAGCCCGCCCATCCGTCTTCCGAGGAGATTTCATTTTTTAACAAAAACACACCCAGAAATAAAGAAATCGTCGCAAAGCGCACCGGCGAATAACGAGAAGTTAGGCATCGTTCGTGTCGAGGCGATCGATCCGTCGCGCGTCGAAGGGACAACGTACCGGGAGACGGGTTGTCGTGCCGGCGCGACCGGGGCCGTTTCTTTCGCGTGTTTCGAAAGATCTTTCGACAACGGAAAACGCGGCGGACCTGTGATCGACACGGATGGAAACTGTTCATTTCATCGTTATTTTTCTATCGGGAAGCTTGTTTGGAACAGAATTTCCCAGTTCGGCGGCCGGCAGTCTAAAGCGAAAGATACGTAGCGTTACGTAGAAGGCGAGGATAATGGCTACACACGATACGCTCCCTTTCATCGTTGAAGCCGATAACCGCGAAGAATGAATCCGGGTTATCCGAGTGGCCTGGGCAATTTCTTCTCCGTACACCGCGCCACGAGGGATCGCAGGCCGGGGGTAAAAAGTTCCTTCCGCGAAATGGATCGTAATAACGTTTCCTCGCCGTGTTCGCGGCGTGAAATTTTACGAAGTTAGAGCGGGACGGTTTCTCGTCGGCCGTGACCATCTCGCGTGCAATTTATTAATCTCTGTAACACTGTGCCGCGAAGAAAACCTGGAGGTTCGATATTTTAACGTCGTTCGTTTAACGCACGAGGACGTCAACGAGGATCGAGGTACGAGTCCTCGAATTAAGGGTTCGTCGCGATTAGGTGTGCGGCCTTTAGGTGGCTCGATCCGGTAGAGTCAGTAGTCCGAACCGAACCAATCGCGACAGCTTCGAGCCGTTCCGATGCTCGAGCCTTCTTCCTCCAGGTAGAGCCGGTCTCTACGTAGATAATGGATACCTACATTGCACCGAGTGTGTGTGGTACGTAGAGCGGCTTATCGCAAGCTCGCAGAGGGATGCCCAGCGGCGGCTTATCGACTCGCCTGGCTTGACAGGCTTCTACGCTCTCCTCGAAGCAGCCCGGAGAGGATCGTAGGGAGATGATGAGCTCCGATCGAAAGTCCTGAGAGACTTTCGACCGTCCTCGTAGGACGCTGCGACGTATACCGAGTGGCGATAGTGCTTGCTACGTCGAGCGAGTTCGATTGTTCATCGAGACAAACCGGGAAAAGCTATCGGTGTCAAAGCTATCGATAAGCAATGTTCATACTCTTTAATTTTCGACTGTGTCAACGTTCCATAAAATTGCACTCGGACAGAAAAGATCTTTTCATATTTTTCTGCCGCAGGAGAGAGAGAGAGAAGAATAGGAATTGACTGTTTTAATTTAGATTGATATCGCAACAGTGTCGCTGGTTCCATTATCGAAAGGGGGAGACCTCGCAGAGACGAAGAAAGTTCATCAATTACCTGTCTTTCCACGCAGTCGGAGCCTTATCAGAAAACAGAGTTCCGCGGAAAAAAAGACATCGCCGAGAAAATTAATAACCTTTAGCGTTCAACGTTTCGACGTGGTTACTTACGAGACAGTGGTATACTCGTACCTCGTAAACCAAATACCGTGATCGATCTCCTCGTACAGACATCGAAATATCGCTTCGACCGATAATACGTGCATGAAGATTCGGGACTCGAATACGATCGAGAATACTCCTCGCCTCGGGGTGTACCGATTTTCCACCACGAATCGCTAGCTTCCGAGTCCTTTATTTCCGCGAGCCACGAACTGTCGTGCTCACGTTTCTATTTGGCCTTTTCGGGATTTCGGACGCTGCTCCCGGCGGCAGCTGCTTAAGTCAGGAGCGACTTCATTGCTTGCGAGATTTGCGGAGCGCCGGCGCTTTGCTCACGGATTACGCAAATTCGACAGTCGCCTCTGGATATACCGAGGCGAACGTCCACTGTGCCGGTTCGAATAAAAAAAAAAACGTGAATTTTTTTCGACAGCTGCGCGTCGTCATCGCTAACAGGACGATCGATAGTCAGGACGTAACGAGATTTAAATTAGTGCTCGCGAGATGTTACGAAAAAGGAGACACGTGCTCGTACGATCGCCGCCTTACTTTAACCATTTGAATATAAAGTAAGAAAAATTGATATTCGCGAAAATATGTTTGCAGCGAAAGACCTGCTTCTGTCAAAAGCAGCATATATCCATTTTTTGTACCTTTTAATTTCTCTCTAAAATTAATTTCCGCACCGTTTAACCGACTTCGAAAAGGAGAAGGTTACTCGATTCGACATGTATATTTCTTTTTTGTGTGGTCTTTCGTAGACGTGTTCACTTTGAAACCGTTGGTACTAAATGGTTTTACGTCGGAGAGGAGTAACTATAAATGGTGTCAAATGTTGCAACGAAATTCCGGCTACCATGCTTTTAGCGCAGGAAGGTGGAATAACGAACGTTATATTTATATAAAATGGGTTTAATCAATCCGTTTCAGGATTCGAAAGATCGCCAGAGCGTTATCCGTGATGTTATTTTCGTTCAATGGACGATCGGAGAACAAATCCAGGTCTTCGGGCGAATAAGGACACGCGAGGTATTTCAATTCGGCCTCACGACCGCCTAATCATTTATTTACACCGCTGAACCGTGAATCGACTGTATTTGCATTCGACGCCATTAGCAACAGGCGCGTGAAGAAGTAGTGCGGCGACAAAGTGGATTATTGGGACAGTGTTCGGCGTACTTACAGATTGTAGTGCACATCCGCCATGTTCGGTCGATAACGAAGCGCCTGGACGAACGCCTCTTCCGCCTCCGCAACTCGTCCCTGGGCGCTCAGGATGCTGCCCAAATTACCATAAGCTGCAACAATCACAACGGGACTCTTGTTATAAAGCGACCTCGAGAACACAAAAAATAACGTTAAAGGTTGTGGACATCAGCGAAGAGCTATCAGCGTCGGGTACTTGATCGAATAAAGTAAAATAATGCTTCTCAAAGAATTCTTCGTTCCGAGAAATTTGTATGATTATCAAATTAGAACGACAAACTCAGTTTAGCTGTGAAAAGAGGATAGAACATTCTGTCGAAGATACGCGGAGAAAGTACACAAAGTTCCGAGAAAAAAGGAATACACTTTTGCGGTTTGATCGAAGAAAACGACATTTCACGTACACAGACCTAATACGAAGGACCGATATATTTCTCTCGTGATATATGTTTTTAAACGCAGCGCACAGCTCCTCCTCGAAAAGCAATAAGACGCGCGCCAGGTACTCGCCGAACCCCTTTTCCTTTCGTCCCGGCCGTTCTTTTTCTCCGCCGTTCCACCCCGCTTCTTTTTCAGTTCTTTGTATTTACGAGCAATAAAGCCGTACACACGCGACCGCTCGACGTTACACTCCGGATAGCGCGAATATCGCGCAGGAGCGCGCACGGCTATCGTCCAGCTCGCTTCCGCTTTATCTTCGGCCAACAATATCGCCAATAAAACATTTCTCGGGCACCCTCGGCGCTCGTTCGTCCCGATAGCTACTCGAGCAAACAGTAATAAATGAATCCGCAGTCGTAAAATTGCTTCGCGATCGCGAAAGAGACGACCCACCTTCGCGGATACTCCCTTCGGCCGATTTAAGATCTCCGGATGGCCGCGATGCGCCACTGGAACATGAACCGTGCAACGAAACTTCATTATTTCGACCGTTTATTAATACAAGAGCGACGAAACGATAAATTCGCAGAACCCGCGTTTACGAGATACGTCGATCTTGTCTGCGTTAGGTAATATAATTTCCATTCGATATTTATTTCTATACATTTTAATATGTCGCGAAGAAGTTTTATTACCCCGCTCGCTATAAAGACTGACAGGAAAAATACGCTGCCATTAAGTCAGAATCCTGATAATCTCGTATAAAGAATGCAGCGGTTCGTCGTTTCGACTTTTCTTAACGTTAATCCACGAAGCTTTCGCGAAAGCCTGGTATCGTTAAGGCGAAACACTCGAGTTCATCGAGCGACCCGCGCTCCAAATACGCGCCTTAATTCACCGCCCAATAATAAAGTGGAACGCGCGAAAGAAACGTGCTCGAATGCTTCGAGACGCGCAACCCGGCGACGCGCGTTCCATTCTCCGGCTTGCGAATGTACAAGCAATTCAGTTCCGCGCAAAAATTCGAATCGCGTCGTATAATTAGAAGTCTCCGGGAAGCTCGGCAAATTTTAGCCAAAGACCCGACATCTTGAATGAACCTTTTACGCTATTCATAATTCTCGAGACATCTGAATTTCTCGAGAGTCGCGGAGGGAAAGGATCGGCCGTTAATTAAAATTATTTTCTACTTACGTTTTGCGCGCAAGTAAGATTAACCGTCGTGGAATTATTTTTAGTCCGAGGATACGTGATACGAGACGGTATTAAAAATAATAACGCCGAGCTACTTGAAACGTTGAAACACAGGAGGCTTTGCGATAAGCCCGTGGATGAATACAGGAAAAGAAAGTCTCCGTTTTACGCGGGCAACGCTAGTTTCGTTGCAATTTATACATTCTGCGAATATTGTAGGTGTATCGAGAGAGATACGTAAGTTTCAACTCGACGACGAGGGCGTCTTTGAAATTTTGCAGGACGAAAATTGTTGTTGTTTCTCTACTCTTCTTCGCAACGGAATAGGTACCCTACGGTTGACACGACTGTTCGCAAACATTATTTCCATCGCTGTACAAATATGTATATCTTTTCATGCTAAATTCAGTGGAAGGGTTGAGTTTTTCATATCGTATCGAACAAGTGTAGACCTGGACGCGTACGACTGGCTACAAATGAGGCGAATGATAGATCGAATGTCGCACGACGAACGCAAGAGCAGCGCTTTATCGGGCGAAAGAAAATAATGGACAACGCGTAAGAAAAAAATGAGTGATGCGAGCACGAGCTATAACTCGAAAGCTGATTGTAAATAAAATAGGAACACGCGCGAACAGGAAAAAACCGAAGAAGATTATTATCATTTATTACCGATTACCGCGTATGCGTTCCCCTTGGATAGTCGAAATTCATAAATAAAGGACGCGACGGAGTCGATCTTTCCCCGGAAACGAAAATTCGATCCATCCAGAGGCGACTCGACGATAATACCTGACGGCGCGGCGGGAGCTACTGTTTTAAATCAGTCACGATAAATAAACGCGATAAATCGCCTCGGGGCATATTTCATCGTCGCGCGATCCCATCGAGCTATGCCCGTACTATAGGGTTTGGCACACGGCAGCTTGGCTAACTTGGATAACTTCTAAGAAATGTACCTGAAATCGAGGGGATTGTTTGCTATAGCCTCGAAGCATGTAACGTGATCGAATACGCGCGATAAAGAGATCTTTTTCTCAACATTTTCTAATCATCCCCTTCGCTAATCAAACGTCACGCAAAGGGGTGGGTTTAGGACGAGTCAGGGAAAAGAAAAAACAAAGAAAGAATCCACCACGCAGTTTCCTAACCGGAGAACCGGGATCGGAACTTTTGTATAAACTGTCTCCGCATCGGACTATCTTCTTTCAGCGCTCTCTAACTTCTACGAATCAAAGGATACGTTTGCTTTTCTCTGTTTCTTTTTTTTTATAAAAAGTCACGGGGAAACGTGTTAATTGAAAATCTGGGTTATTGCTCGCTGCGAGTTAGTTACTATAGAGTAACGTAAAATTGGAGCGTAACGTTTCTCGCGTTCTACTCGTCAAATTTGTACTTTTATTTCCAGGAGAGAACGGTTAGCGCGAACGCGCGTAAAAAAAAGCGCTATTTTATATCTCCGTGCGGTCGGTGGCGGATGCAACACGGTAATACGCAATTTCTGTTGGCGCAATTAAAATGCGTCGCGATTCAGCCGAGCGGCTGGTTTGATGGTGCCGATGCCAGGTTGTAACGGCCGCTGGAAGGGTTGTCGGCGGATGTAACCAGGCGTTTGCCTCGCGTGACCGTCCCTCTCGTCGCCCGCCTACACCCGCGAGCGCTCTTTTCGCGCGAAGATTAAAAGGGAAACAATGCAGGGGACGCGACAAAGCGAGGCGCATCGCGGAAACGCTCAACCGGCGTACCAGTTCTCGCTGAACGAGCGTTACAAGGTATATTACCGTGCTGGAATGAAGTTGTCCGGGACTCAACGGAAATAAGCAACCGCGATAATGGTTTTGGAAGCGGCCGAGAGAAGCCAGCGACGGGAAAGGAGATCCGGGCGGGTGCATCGGACGGTTCGGGGGGTAATTAGGATGGTCTGGAAATCGTATGAAGCGGTCGGAGTAATCTTAGATCGGGCAGATAGGTCGTAAAAACGAAGACGGATGCGCAAGAACCGACAGAGACGGATAAGGGAAGCGGTAAAACCTCGAGGAGGGTAAGAAAGTCGCCGGGAAACCGATGCACTCCACTGCTGTGTTTGTATCACCGAATTGATTCATCGAGTAAGAGCAACGACAAAGGAGAAAAGAGAGGAAGATAATTCGTTTATTACACCCCCTGGAATAAGGTTGCCCGTATTTTCGTCTACGAATATTTAAAGGTAGTCGCACGAGAAACGTAGCAAAGCGAGCGAATAGAAATAGAATTCGACGTGGAAACTGTAGGTTGACTCGGAGAATAGAATCGAAACGGTCGTAATTTCGCAAACGCGGAGGGTCGACCTCCTCGAGACCTCTGGACGCGGACGGCGCAATCGGAAGACGGATAACGATCAAAATTATAACACGGGGACGCGGAAAATGGCGAGCAACGAACGATGGAAGGAGTGTAACGACTGCGAAGGTAGCCAGCGAAGGTATAGACGTGTTTAACGAAGATAGATAAAAAGTGGGACGAAGACGGATAAGAGGTACGATAAAAAAAAAGGCGCGCGAGAGGCGTGGGTGGGTAACGGAGAGGGTGACTTACCGCGTCCCCCTATCGCATGTCGCGTATCCGCCTTCCCAAGCAATTTTATGTACGCGGTAGGCGGATCGCTGGCTAGCTGGAAGTTCGAGATGAGAGGATGGATAGCGAGAGCACGGCCGTTGGCAGAACGTCGTATAACGAGAGAAAACTGCGAGCGATATCCGACGAACGAGCTGATTTTCATTTCACCGTAGCGAGGGTAGGTATATTTCGTCCCCACAGACGTATCTGGTTTCGATCATGGAAGCCGCTCCGTTTGTCATAGCACGCGACGTTTTGTTATCATCATCTTTTTAATTGTATCGCGCACCGTACGCGACACGTATCTTTATGGACGCGTTCTTTTCTTCCTTCGGTAAACCGACAATTTCTAATCGTACGTACTTCCTAAACACGTAGGTATATGCGATACTCACCCTTCGGCGGATTAACGTTGAGAGCGGACCTGTAGAGGCTCTCCTCGTCGAACCAGTCGGCATTCCTGAGGATCGTCTTCGCCGACATAAGGGACACCAGCACGACCGTGGCGAGCAATACCGATCTGCCTCGCCTTCTGGACCCGCTTTTCCTGGCTATTCGATAACATCCAGATATGGAGGCTCCTACGATCAGGCAGGCGCCAACGCTGGGCAAGTAGAGAATCCTCTCGGCTATAACGAAGCCCACGTAGAAGAAGAGGTTGCTGGCGGGAAGAAAGGGAAGCACGAGGAAGCCCAGCGATACCACGACACTCGTCGCGGCAGCTTGTCTGCTCGCGAATCCGTTGCTCGAGGTCATCGAAGACCCCAGCCCTGTTCTCTTCGCGCAGTGACAATCGCCGAACGGGCCGTTGTTGTTGTTCGCGGCTCGACAGCCGTCCGTGTGGCAGCCCCCGGCACGTCTTCCGGCGCAAACGGGGCACCTGGACGCGTAACGCGGGTAAGCCTGCACCAAGCTCAACGAAGAGTCTCTGGCCGAGCGACGAAGAGTTCTGATGGCCCAGATCGACGTACCGATCAACGCCGCGTACAGGCAAACCGACTCGAGGTTCCTGACGTCCAGGATGCTAGTTACCCTCGGCACGGCGTCCATCGACCAGTCGAAGCTCAACGTGCTGGGGCAGAGCAACATTTTTACGCTGGCCGCGGGTAGATAGAGGAACGTCAGACCTCGCGTTAAACGAGACGGATGTCTCGCAGTGGGATTGTCCGCGCTGGCGAATTCCGGCCTCGTACCCGTGATCCTCAGCCTGCCGAGGACCAGAAGGGCCAGACTTCCGGAGAGGACGCCCACGCTGCGGGCGCGCGTCAGGCCGCAGTTCACCTGTAACGATAGCCAAACAAGTATTTGTCAACGTATCGATTTCAGCGAGTTATTCGTTAAGTTGATACAACGAGGATATCGCCAGTAGCAACAAATTCTGAAAAGAAACATTAATGAAATATCATTCAAGCTGAATACCTTTTAACGCGACACCCGGTTGAAATAAATAAAGCACCGAAACAGAGTTTGCCCGAGTCGCCGCGATTCGAACAGAATTCTCGCGTGTGTATCTCGAAATATTCGTACGCTTTTAACGAAACGACGCGCTAAAAGGGTTGGATGCGAAAGCAGATACGAATACATGAAACGAGAACATTAATCGAGGCTTCGTCCAGCCGCGACATAGACGACGTTTCGCACGTAATTAAATGGAATCTTAATAACGATAACGTATGTTTGAATCGAGAACGGACCACCTAGGTTCCTCGCTTCGAGGGTAATTTAACCGAAATGTCTCGTGTCCGAGAGCACTTTCCAAACTAATTTGACCGGACAGTGCAAACATACTCCGACGTCCAAAGGAGTCGCCATTCCACGTCGAAAAGATTAATTTACAGGAAATAACCCCTCGACGGTTTTTAGGTATCCGGCAAAGCAGGAAACGCCGACGCGTTTCCGTACCTTCACGTCGAACCTTAGGTATCGCGAGAAAGCGACGAGGGTCGACAAAATGTTGAAAGCGACAATAGTTTATTTAACGAGCGAAACGGTAACGAAGAGCGACGAGAATGATTCGATTTTGCTGAAAATCTAATGTAACGTTTCATCGAAATTCACTGTTTCTTTCGTTATTTCGAGGATCGGCGATCGACTTTGTTGCAACGTTGATAAATAATATTACTGTATGCAAAGCGCAAACGAAAGGATCGCTGGGATGTGCTGGATGACCTGGCCGATAAATAAAGACAAAAGTTGACCGGACGACGGTTCGAAACGAGCCGAGCTGGAGAACGGAAATGCTCGTTCGAAACTGGGCCGTGTTTCCGTCCTTTCGAAACGCGTCCCGCAAATCCGAAACGGAAAAATAAAAGTAGAAACGCGCAGCGACTATAATTGCAGTTGGTTATCGCGAAGTCGGGAGGAAAGCGCGCGCACCACGCTTAATCGACGTCGACGCACTCGAAAGTCGGCGTCCCGGGCAAATGAGAAGCAACGTCGAAAGCTTTTAAAGCGAGTCGACGGCGACATTTTAATGTTAAATTGCAGGTCCGTGGAAGAAGTTGCGGTGATAATTACGAGCTTCGAAATTGCACGGACCTTGTTGGCTACGACGATTACAACTTTGCGATATATGGTTTGAAATATTTTTACTTGAAAATGATCACGGCGTATTTTTACAAATGCGTAATAAATATTGGTAATCGTAGGAGAGTTTGGAAGCTGCGATTAACGGCTGTCTCGCGAAAGCGGGTTGAATTTCGGGTAATCGAGGAATGATAGCTCTCTTCTCCTTCTCCCTCTGAAACTGCTAGGAAGTTTGCGTCAGGTCGGCGTTGTCGAGAAGGAATAATTCGCAGGGGTAACGTAACAGGGTTACTGGATGATGGTGGCATCGCTGGTGTCGTCGTAGCCGGCAATTCTGGCCGGAAGTACGGAAACAAAGGACTCCTTTGACGAAAGGAGGAGAGGATAATTAACGGTAACACTGCGTCGCGAGCCAGGCGGCTATCAACGGCGATAAATTAGATCACGGCGAGGGCGATATCGTTGTACGAATGCATGTATTAATAATTTACCCCTGCTGGACCGTTATAAGGTAAAAATTTGAGTTTGATCGTGAATGGTATTGGCAATTATCTGACATTCATGTTTCAAGATTATTTCCCTAGTTCTCCGATGTCTCATCCGCTGCGTGCATAGTTTCTCGCCCGAGAAACATACCGGAAAATGACAGTAGAAGAAGTTCTATAGCGACGGTGACGTTTCCGCTTTCCAATAGAGCGTAGCAACGTTCTTGGTCGAACGCAACCGGCAAGAAACTCGCGCAGGAAACGATTTTCCTTGGTTCGCGCGCTAGAAAGGTTAGCGCGGAGACGATGGAACAGGAAAGGTGGAGGTACGAGAAATAATAAGAGGAAAAATATGGGGAAAGTGAGAAAAAGGAGGCAAAAGGGTAGAGAACTGCGGAGGACAGGCACGAAAGAGCCAGGAAGATCGAGTTCCCGCGCGACGCTACACTCGGAGGGGCGTCGGGGAATGCGAACGACCCTTGGCACCCCTCCAACCCTACGAGGGTGGCTAGGTTGGCTGGTTGGTCCGCGACATGCATCACACCAGGCGTCTGATGCATCCAGCGCATCCGGATGCAATGTGCTCGAAAGGCGAACGGCTGGAGGCTCAGGCAAAGGCTCTAGGTGTGCCTGGAGGTGGTTCGAAGGTGGTTAAAGCTGGCTCGAGCTAGTTGAACGCGGCTGGAGATGGCTCACCGTGCATCAGCCTGCTGTCTCCAACAGGATCGCTGGTTGGCTCGAGTTTGCACATGGTGCAGCGCAGTTGCGTTATCGGTTACACGCCTATCTGCCGCCTGTGCGCGTTCCCAAATCCTCGGTACACGGTGTCTCGGAATCCGCGAGCAATCAACATTTTACCAGGCGGTGTAGGACGCGAGGAAACTCTTTCTTAAAAAAATACGCGAATACACGTGGAATGTTCGAGAAAGAGATCGAGGATACTTTGGATCTACTTTTCGATCGTTGGGTCAACGATTACTCGCGTTGTCGGCGTATCTTCGATCACCCAGTGTAGACGGATGAGATTCGAGAAACTAGCCAGGAATTCTTGGAATACGAGCGCACGTGCGCCGCGCATTATCACGCGAAGAACCATTAGACGGGCGCAATGAATTCTCCGGCACCGCCGGTTGCTTATAATTACCGAGACCCCGGTACATTTATGAATAATCGTATCTCGTTATCAATTCGTTTCCGCGGTTCGCATGACCCCGCCCGTTCGTCTACTTTCCCTCGTCAAGGGTAATTTGATCGCGTCGTTCTACTAGACCAGTCCATTTTCGGTTGTTAATATTCGTAATGGCAGCCGGAAGCGCGGACCAACGCAATCCTCCGTAATGCAACTCTCGAAACGTTAATTTACGCTAATGTGTCCGGGACACGTGAGGAGCGGCGCGGTTCGACGAACTTTGTCGCTTTGCGAACGCCCGGAGCTGGATTGCTCGAGCTCGTCAAAGTACTGTATGGGTATAAACTAATACTCGAACTTGCGAAAACGTATATTAAAAGTTGATCAGAGGGGATGGGATGCCGCCTGCGAAAATCCGCGAAGAACAAGAAATTTTAGGACCGCAGGAAAAGATTCACGGTCTCTAGAACTTGATAGGCCGGTGGTCCGATTTATAAATTCTGGAGAGCAGTTACAGCGTACATTCGACGAGGTCGTAAGACGAGCGAAATTGAGTTGTAAAATGTAAATTCCGGGCGACCACTGACTGGAGATGCGGTCCGTAAATCCGCAAGTGCGTTCCACGGTCCAAGACTGAGCGTCGAAATAGACTTGCGAATGGCACGTTATTCGATCTGCTTTCGCGCTTTCTCACAATTCTTATGAATAAATGTTCTCTCACCCATAGAGAGAGATTTTTACTGGATTAACGTACCTCGAGTATCCAGTTTTCGCGACCGCTGTATGTTTTTACAACACACCGGTCGTTTCGCATGATTTATGTGAGGCAGTTAAACTGTTTCGGAGCGATAACGGCTAATGTTACATTATTGAATTAAATCCGATCCGTTTTACTCAGTTACTGTTGGAACATTAACATCTAAGAAATTAGGTTGTCTATTTATAAAAACCTACACAAAACAATTGAGTGCAAGCCACGAAAGAGCTATTCGCGACGAAGGATTGTTCGTCGATTGATTTTTTTTGTATCTACGATAGTTTAGGCATTATCGCTTAAAAATTTAGCTGTCTCACCCTGTATCGTTACTACAGAAAGGTTATCGAAGGGACTGACTCACCTTTCGGTTCGATTCGCCGCGACAAAGTTCCCAAAGGAGGCACAGGGCGAGGGAGGATATTCCGGTTTCTTTGGCGAGGGTGGCCAGAGTCGAAGAGACGAGGGCCAGCAGCAAGAGAAACGGCGATCTTGCCTGATCGCAGTGGGCGCAGTACGCCAGGAAGGCTGCCAAGGTCAGTAAGCAGGCGAGAATGTCGGCACGACCAACTATGCCGGCCACGGCTTCGCTGTGAATCGGGTGTGCCGCGAAAAGGAACCCGGTGATTGCGTGCCCGAGATTGTTTCTTCCTGGCAAAACCTGCAACATGAGAAATATGCGGTGAATAGGTGGGCAATGAAGAAGAGTAAGTCCCCGTCAGTTGTCGATATCTAGCGATTGATTTGAAACATCGTCCAGTGGTTTCTCGTAGCGCAGGGATTCGTATATTCCATAAAGAAGCCGAGGCAGAAAGGGTTCGCACGGTTACGGACCAATTCCCGTAGAGGCTTTGCTGTTACTCGGGGGATTAAACGCGAAACAGGTAAAAGCGCGAAAGGAACCGAAGCTCTTGAAACGAAACATCCGGATTTTCCGCTTTAATCCGCCTTTCCATTACGTTACCCGCGCGTTGGCGCGGCGACGCGCACATCTGTCAGAGCAAAAGCGCATCGCGGCCAGTTATTAATGCAATATTCCCTGAATTAAATGGACCGGTAAAATTTTATTTCCAACGGCAGCCGTAACGTCTGGCATTATCAACTTTGCGTGACGTACGCTCTACAGGTGTCACTATTATCTCGTTTTCTGCCGCTCCGACGTAAAACCTGGCCGACGAGCGGAGCTACCGCGTTAATCGAAAAGTAGACGAACGTCGAGTCTCTAGCTGCGCCTCGGCACGCCCGCGGCACGTTCTCTCGCTGAAATTAGCTTCTCCGTCGAATAACCGATAACATTTAAATGGAAACGACAATTTACCTTCCTGGCTACTCTGACCACGAGCACGGTGCAAGCCGCGTGCAAAGCGACGTTCACCAAATGGTAGCCCCACGGCTCGAGACCGTTCAGCAGATGATTCAGACGAAACGTCGCCACGCAGAGCGGTCTGTAGCTGCCGTGGGAGCCTCGATCGTTCAGGGGCGTTCCCCAAAAGTCGTTCTCCAGCAGCCGATCCCACGGTGTGCTGGCCAGCAGGTCCGGATTCGTCAGGATGGCCCTTCTGTAATCGCACGAAAGAGATTACGTTAGCGTTACTACGACGTCGAAGACAATTACGAAGAATAATCCCGATTGGAATGTCGATACCGATAGGACTTTGTACGAGATAAATTCTATCGTAATACGTAACAATGTATTTTGAATAGAAACGAGTAATTGTCATCGCGACGTTTCGCATGTACGGAACGTAAAAATTTGCCATTCGTCCAGACCGTACACGGAACGAATGTTTTTACAATTTCCAGCGAGAGTTGAACGTTTCAGAGTTGTAAAAACACGGGACATGGTCTCTCCATCGAGGTCCGATGCAACAGCCAATTAACCATCACGGCACATGGAACGTATACGCAACATCGGGTTCGTTTACTCAGAGAAAGGAAAATATACTTCGTACCTTCGAGGCGTAAGTGGCACGCGCGTCCATCAGAATCGTACACAGACGAACAGTTAAAAGGACTTGATCCAATTTCCTTCCGCGCAACAGCCTCGGCGATCGCGCGGAACGATTTAACGACTACTCGTGCCCACGAGTGCTCTCCGTTCCGTCCACAAAGCGACGTAATAGGACGTTTTTCGCTCTACCGCGGTTTTTAAATCTATTTTTACTTCGCGGCCGGCAAGACCGCGGCCATAATTCATACCTATTTGCATTGTACTTTCACGATGCGCTTTGCGCCGCTTTCACAGGGCATCCTCGTGTCCGTGCAATTAGCAGTCGCCGTTGAATTAATAACGATGACTCGAAGAGTGTTTCTGGCGTCGTGGCTCGCGACCTGTTTCATTTGTGCCCCGGTAGTTGTTAACGGTAACGTTTCGTTCTTGAATTGAAATATACGTTGTAATTGTTCGCGTTACCCGCAGCCACTGTTCGTAAAACCATAAATACCGCGTATTTATTCTTAAGGGGTATCATCCCAAGCCGATAAACATCTATTCCTATATCTACCTATCATCTACGTATGCATCTACCTATCAATTCCTGTTGCTCGGGTTTCGCGACGCGCGCGTCATTTTCACAGCGTTGTCTGTCGATGCGGCGTGCCTGAGGCATTTTAATCGACGAACGATCGATATTCACGAGTACCGACGCGACGGGAACGCAATGTTTCGGCTCGTCTCGAGACTCCGATACCAGAGGCGACGCATCCGAGCCGCTGTCAGGGGAAATGGAACCGGAGCTCGATGAACGCCGGGCCAATAATTTCGCATTCCTCGAACCTTCGATAAGCCGCGCCCTCCTCGATTCGTATTGCATTTTCTACGTGAGTCGAACGCGATCGACAACGGTAACAACCTTTCCTTTTTTTTTTTTTTTTTTTTAGGCTAGGGGGCGAGGGTTATATCGAGCACCTGTTTCCCCTATTACTGACAGGGAAATTAAATCGAAGTAGGTATCGGGTGATACTGTTCTCTGCGAGGATACTTTAGGATACCTATCGTTTACTTTCATCGTTCCAACTTCTTCATGCTTCTATACGCGTAGTCACGATTTATGATAAGATTTGTAGTAAGAAATTATCGTCGTTACCCAGGGTTCTCGTGGACCACAGATTAGCGTCCGATAATCGATTTTCCCGGATGGAAAATGGCACCGACCGCGTGCAAATGAATTACGGCAACGTTCCCTCGTTTCGCTGGTTTTTTTTGCTTGGTCTTATTAAGTCGCAGCGTCGAAGCGCGGTTCGCAAAGTATGGATAATAAAATTTTGTAAAATTGCAGCGAGAGGCGCGGCGGGAGACTAACAATTAATCTCCATTCATGCCGATTGCAGCATTCCGAGCTTTTCGTCCGGGCTTCGCGGCCATCGCCTCGTTTGGGGGACATTTCTCGGAAAAGGATCCGTGGAAAAGACAAGCACTTTTTATCGAACGCTGTCGCGATTTAATTCGCGGCTACCATTCCCGCTCGGCTCGTCGAAATTATTCCACTACCGTTGCTGCAGTTGCGACCGAACGCGGTTTATAATCTAACCGTGGACAGAAAACTTTCCAGAATCGGATCGGAGAACTTTACCGCGATTTCTGCCAATTGAAACGTGAATTGTTAATTATCCCTTTATGCAAAGAGAATTTTTTTAGTACGCGCGATTAGCAACTCCAAGGAAATTTCGCGACGGCGCCTCTGAAAACCAAGAGCGGCTCTCCTCTCGGAATATTCATTACAAAATTTAGATAGCCTTGGTCTGGTACGTTTACCAATTCCACGAACGCGAGAGAGCTTTCGTTAAGCGTTTACTTATAAATTCTGATGGACGATCCACGTTGCCGTTGTTACGAGTACTTGAACGCGAACGACTGCGTCGCGACGTTAGCGTAAGCGAGATTTACAATCTCGCAGAATTCATTAGAACGGTGGCACCCGCTCCGGAACAATCCTCTTTGGCAGTGCTCGAGAGTTTCGTTCCCTCGATTTCCAGAGGCACGAAGCGCCACTCGACATATCTGTACGAGCAGATGGCGCGTGAACTTTCCCCCTCGCAGTGTGTTTATTTCGTTTTCCGTGTCTCTCCGAGCGACGGGGGTTGGACGCGAAAATTGTTGGTAAAAATACAACGTCCGTCTCGGTGTTCGTCGTTTCGATTGTCGCTCGCGATAATATCAATCGATTATTAATGCCAAAAATTACCGAACGACGGGTCCGCGTCGTTCGGCTGGAAACAGACAAGTTTAATGAAAATACACCGACTGGAAAAATAAACTGTCGCTCGACGTACCGCCGCGGCGCGGCCGAAGCGAATAAAATTTCGCCTCCGGTTGCCAAGTAATTACGTCGTTAATATAGCCGAACGAATGAGCACCAGGCTAAACCACGAATTTGTTTACAGTTAACCGTTAACCCCTCGTGATCACATCCCATTGGCTTTGATATTTCGAGCGTTATCGCCGCCCATAAGCCTCTTAATAAAAAGTAAGAGCTGCGCTTACAGTATTTCTCCATGCGTAAGAACGTTTCGTTTCTCGAACATCGCATAATCCGCGGTATTAGTCGACCGCATCAGTGATATTAAGCAACTGTCGGAACTGTCAAGAAACAGGGACACTTGGTGCTCCCCCGCTCTCTCCTCCTCGTGCACACACTTTCCGTCTCTCTATGTGTATACCAGTTCGCGGTATACCCCGAGGACCATTTCTGACAGTACACGTGACGTTAATGAAACTCGGTCCCGGATCTAACGGAGCAGCCCGAGACGTGACTGCGCGCGGAGGGTTCAAGCCGGAAGGGGTACTCTTCTGGTCTCCTCGCGATGGTCGGGGCTAATACGTGTAGAACCCCTTTAAGCCTCTAGTCGACTTACGTAAGGCCGGGCACGTCGATTCAATTTTGTCTAGGTTCTTCGGGCGTACTTCGAATCGGAAAGCGCTTAGCGACGGATCAAATTAGAATTATTCGCCGGCCCTCCGACGTGGAAACGAATTAATAAATTATTCCGCTGCCTCGTGGATCGAGTCTCCCACCCTTATCGCCGCAGCTATAGGTATATAGACGCGTACACCGCGAGCCGATATTAAAATCGACCGATGATTAATCTCCGTGGTCATACGGCTCGCGTGCATCGGCGTACCACGCGAAAGAGTGGAAAAGAGAGGTCGACTAAGTGGCAAGCTGGGCACACGAACAAGGATAACTGTCCTATCGATTCCAGCCAGTCTCTACAGCGAATCGACTAAAAGCTAGGCATTACTACTTCGTCGACCGCGCGACGTTTCCTCGCAAGGGAACGATCGCTTTGATTGACGCAGGATCAAGAGGATTTTCGCGAATTTTATTCCGATAAAGAAACGAACCCGATTCAACGGCGGGCCAAGTATAAACGTAATTAAGTGACATTGTACTCGATCTCAATTGCAAATGATACTTATTTCGTGACGATTAGATTTTGTTTTTGTTACGTTAACAGCCGTATCGATACCTATTCGTATCATACGATATCTGTACGTTCGGTATTCATTTCATACAAAATACGTGCTGTGCGCAATTTATACATATCGGTACGTTTGTGTAGATATTTAAACGGTTTCATATAAAATGGTGCAATTTTTATTTTATCTGGTATCGATAGTACCGATTCCAATACCCATTAACGCCGTACTTCGCAAAACGATTTTTAATCAAACCTCGAACTCATTGTACGGCGTAGAGAAAAGAAACTCGGTGTAGGTAGTCGTTAATCGTGAATAATCGTCGACGTATCGACTTTAAAAATTATAAGAAATACAAACTCGGTTTCTATTCGACCGAAGATGAGACGGAACGTTTAGAGTAAGAGGAACCGAGACCGTAACAGTTCTTGCAATAACCGGGAACTAGAACACAGTTTGAAAGCTGACAGTAACTAACGCTAAGTGGTCCGGATCGAGTAACCGAGTCCCAGCTTCTAACAACTCCGTAGCAAGTAAGATTTATACCCTATGTGTCCGAGTTCTCTCTGAGCTGCGACTGAATCATCATTGAGGCAATAGGTACTCGACTGATACCGAACTTAGGTACAGTTTTGGCTAAAAAGATATAATATAACAGAGTATCAAATGATAGATCTTACGCGCGTTGAACGGATCTTGCGCGAATATGGACTTTGACGTGCAATTTAAGATATGTAGTAACTTGCGATGCTTTGAGAAACATTGGTTTTTTAGCAAATTTATTATCGATGATGTGGAATCAACGGAAGGCAGATCATTCGATAACCCCGCTACCTTGCGCGAAGCTGTTTCCGTGCGCGTACATCGTAGATTTGAAAAATCAAAGCAACGGGGCGACGTTATAAATATTCACGTGTAATTTCGCGACAGATGACAATTTAATTTCACGATACGGCATATTTAATCTCGATTCGACGGGAATTATTTATCGGGAGGAAAGGAAGGGGGGCGAACGAGGGGGAGGGCAGCGTGCGCGTTAAATTCTTCGGCATCGGTCGACGCAACGCTTCGTTCATTCCCCGTGAAACGATATTTCACGCGCGCGCCGCCCCGGATGAAATTCGATAACGTTCAGGTGGC